GACTGTTACAGGCGCAGACCTCCTAAGTCAGAATATGTAATTGAATTAGGCCTCCTGTACCAATTTTCACATTATACTAGGAGAGGCACAGACCATCAAAGCATGTGCCATCTTGTCCCTATCTCTATGTGATAGCACAGAAGCATGGCAGGGACCTACCAGTTCTGCACATGAACTTTTATCTAGAACCCTGTTGACCCTTGGGTGCCGTGGGACCAGAGGGGAGGATGCCAGCTCCTAACAGTCCCTGCTTCCCAAATGCAAAGACCAAAGAGGGCATGAGATATTATCGAAGACAACACGGAGGCTGGGTAAGGTGCAGTGCTTCAGGATGTAGGGCTGGGTTCTAGTTTTTCAATCACTGTTCAGGATTTGAGGCTATAGCAGGCGCCTAGCATATGTTTGCTGAGTGAACGTATCATAGAAGGAGGACCCCATGCCGTTCAGAAGCTGTGAAGACTCCAGCCACTTTGGCTGGATATAGGGCGCTTGCATACTCCCTCTTTACCTTGAGCGGCCTCCTGAATTATAGACCCTGTCTTCTCACCTGAACCTAACAGAATCCAACCACCACTAACAGAACTCAGATTACTGAGTGTGTGTTCTGTGCGTGCTGGATTTTTACTGTACATATATGAACTTGTTTTATCTGCACAAAGGTCACAAGGTGGCTTGCATACTACTTTACCATGCTCATTTTACAAAGGAGAAAATGGAGGCTCAAAGAGGTCAAACAGCTGAACCTAGTCCCAGTAGAGAGACCCATAGAGTTAGGAGTAGACTCCAGCAGTGTGGTACCAGAATCCGCCTTTCAGGCTTTAACGTGCAGAATTGCCATGCTGCATACACCTGCCTAAGGTCTACCACAAGGAATGCAGCTCTGGCCTCTCCAGACTGGTCATGCTGTGCACGCTTTGCTCCTCCCGGAATCTCCAGGTCCCTCAGCACACAGTAGGGAAGGCTGGCCAATGCTTCTGTCTTCCCACTTTAACCGAAATCAGCGGAGCAGGCGATGGACAGTGAGCAGACTGTCCGGGAGCCTCCAAAGGCTCTCTCCCCACCCCCTGCACCATCCTTTCTAACAAGTGGCCACTCTGCAGTTGTTCTTTGAAATGTGTGGGGCAGAGCAGGAATATAAGGTTTGTTTGAGTCAAACAACGTTCACCCCTGAGCTAAAGAGAGTCTTTTCGGAAGCGCCTAGTAGGCATCACCAAGTGAAAACCCAAAGTTGCATCAATCATGGCCAGGAAGAAAGGCAGTGCCGTCCCACTTGCCATATATGGTATGTGACTTTTCAACCAGGAACAGCCTTGCTTCCTGTTGGACACAGCCCCCAATAGCCCAGAGCAGCACAATGATAGGAAAACGCTGAGCAGACAACAATAAACTAAGGAATAAACAGTGCCTAGGTTTTCTTCTAACCAATATATGTGGCCGGGTGGGTTGTAGTGTTTTATTTATATTGCTATGCAACAGAGGGGAATTAAAAAACAAAGGTGATTTCAGCACAGTCAGGGCTATACCAAGCCTTGTGGCTGTAGTTCCTGAAGTCAGACCTGACAGACGCAGGCCAGACATCACCTATTAGATCAGAAGTTAATTTAGTGGGGCTGAGGACCAGGCTTTACTTGGGGGTTTAAATCACTCGTCACTCGGTGTGAGTCCAGCTGGGTTCCCTGCACTGGTTCTCAAAGGTCTGGCTGAATGTTTAGAAAACCAGAGGCACAGCTGAGGGGAATGTCAAGCCAGCTGCCAGATGAGCCTCCGAATCTGTGACTCGCAGACCACAGAACACACTCCACAGCCTCTGTGCCTGCCTCCTGGCCAACTTCTGGCAGGCTAGAAAGTGCTGTCACCAGGGGGAACCGACTCTATACCTCAAACAGGAAGACATCTTTGGGGGTGTGGGGACACCCAAGCCACTGCTGAGGGTTTCCTTCCAGGGAAAGCTCCCCCAAACAAAACGAAGCAAAACAACTTTAGAAACCAGGGCAGAGCTTCTGTGGAACCAAGTTCCTTCAGTGACATGAAGGCATGTATATGGATAATTATCCCATACATTCCACTTCCCCAAGCTGGTAGCTATCTATTTTAGTTTGTCCCTTTCACTTTACCAAGAAAGCTGACCGCACCTGCTGCTCATCCAGGGCCTTCCCTCTCAGCAGGAGACACTGGGTCCCCTAGCTTTCTCCTGGCATCAGTCTATGAGAGCAAAGTTCAGCATTGCCTCAGTGAACAGGCAGGGATATGCCAGCTCTCCAGATAAAGCTGATAGCTGATGTCTAAACATCAGGAAGGCTGTTCACATCCAGGCGTCTAACCTGAAGATCCGTTCATTCACCCTATAGAGTCACTCAGTACCTCCTACGTGCTGGACACCATTCTAGAGGCTGGGGAAATGACTGTGAAAACAAGAGAAAAAAAAATCCTATTCTCAGGGAGTGGGACATTTTAGTGGGGAAAATACCCAAGTCTGAGTTGAGAGGATGATGTAAAGCTAGTCACCGAAGAGGTCACATGTAAGCCACTTGGCACACATAGATACTGTTTGCCAACAGTAAGGGCACCGGGAGAAAGACAGCCACTGTTTATTGAATGCTTCCTGTGTGTCAGGCAGTTAATAATAAAAACAGCAATCAACCTCAAGCCCCTACTCTGTCTGACTACCTTAGGAAGGTGGGATCAGATACTTCTCACGTTTTCTTCGAATCTTTGCCACCACTCCATCCCTCCAATTGTCCAGATGGGAAGGGAATTCCTGCTGGGGGACCAGCTTGCTCAGGCACACCCCTTCTTCCAAGCACCCCATGCTTTAGGTCTCTGCACTCAGGCTTCATGGCTTTGTCGCTCAGGTGGCTCACGGTCCTTGGCTCGGCCCACCTCCATTCTCCCAGCTCTTCAGAGGCTGAGCTCCAGTGTCTCTCCTGAGAAGTGTTTTAGGCTCCTCACCAACACTGGGATTCCTTCTCTGAACTCCCTTTTTAGGACCCATGTAGAAAAGGCCGCCTCCAATCTCAGTGACAGGCGACCTGGGGTGTGAAACTTGTCGCTTGGTCACCCAGCCTTACTCCGTTCCTGTTGCTCAGTACGCGCTGTTCTCTTTTGTTTAGTTAGAGTAGCAGCCTTGAGAACAGTGCTTTAACTTAATAGACCCCGTCTATCTAACAACTGTTTAATAGTGGTTCTGAAACATGCCTATGGTTTAGGAATACCTGAAGGGCCTTCTAGAAGAGCTGGCTGGCCCGAACAGAGTCAGCAAGTCTGGGCTCTGAAAAGTTCCTGGAGAACGCTTGCTGCTCTTGATCCAGGAGCCACATTCTGGGGACAGCTGTCTAACTGACTCTCCCGCAGTGTTAAGATGGAGCAGGCAGCCTTTGAGTTCGTGCCTACCACTCAAGAGCCGTGCGACCTATTTGAGCCTCCGCGTCTTCATCTTTGAAAATGGGGATGACCTGCTTGCACATGTACACTGGAGTAAGGAAGGGGATGCTCGGTGCCCAGCACGGTCCCTGACCCAGGGCAAATGTTTCTAAGTCTGGGGGAGCTGGCACAAAATAAGCGCTAAACCCACCCAGAGACTTCCCTCTCAGGCTCACATAAAAGCTCCAATTTGTGAGCAGTGAGAGTGAAGGCTGTCACAGCAGCATGGCATCTATAATTAACAGCTTTTGAAATTAAGCCAGACTTCTAAAAAAAAAAAAAAAAGAAAACCAACAAAACAAAACAAACAAAGACACAAGGGCACTCAGAAATACTTCTTCCTGGAGTGTGATAGAGGCAAATGCCAAAGCGTGTGAAATCTATGTGTATTTTTAAAACGCAGGGATGTCCTCCAGGAACTTCCTCCAAACTGTTCATTCCTGACCAATGCTGGTCAGGACCACGTGGGCTCTGAAGAGCTTAGAGTTGCTGGAGTTACCCAGGGGTCATGGCTAATGGGTTGGTAGACACAAGTGGGGCCTGCTGTTCAATAATTAATTACTCATTGCCCACACAACCCCCAGAGCACAGCCTCCAGCTCAGGCGTCTCAAAGCATCCCTGCTCCTGCTCTTACCCACTTCCCCCCAAGCAAGACTCCTGTCTCCCCTCAGGGTCTGTCTGAGCAGCTACACTGGCTGGCATTCTCTCACTGGAAGGCCAACGGGGACTGTGCAGAAAGGACCTGTGACGGTTTTCCAGGGCCTGGGGGCGAGCATTCCAGGGAGGGTCTACCAGTAAACCATGGCCTGATAACACAGGAGTCTGGGACCCGCGGCCCTCTCTCCCGCTGTCTCTCTGCATCTCTGACTGGGGAATATTGCCAGGTCTAATCCAGCCTGCAAAGTTGAATGAGATCATTTCAGGAATACCGGTTGTAGGCAGGGAGCTTGGGGGATGCTGCCGCCCTTCCAAAAAACCCCTCCATCCTCCAACCCCTCATAGAACAGCACCCACCACTACCCACCCATCGGTACCCTCCCCTAATGCCCAAGAGAAGGCGGACCCTCCCCCACTCCCTCAATTTCCTCTACTGTCCGTATTTTTCCAGCAAACGACCAGAGCCAGGCGGTGTGTCCGCACACTCGTGGGATGGCGCGCCACCCCAGGCGACCGCAGGGTAGGGATTTCCCTCCCAGCGCCCCGGCCGGGCCGCCGGGCTCCCCGGAGCAGGCAGCGCGCGAAGGGGGTGTGTGCACAGCAGGCTGCAGGGAGCGCGGGCGGCCAGGCCCCCAGCCCTCGGGATGTGGGGGCCGGCTGGGTCCCCGCACCTGGCGCCACCCGCCGGGCGATGCTGCGGAAGATGATGGTTCCTCTCGGGCGAGCGAGGCACCGTGTCTCCTCTTCCCACCGGCTCTAGCAGCTCAAGCGGCTCAGCGCCCTCTCCCCCTCCACCGGTCCCCTCCCTCTTTGTCTGCTTAGCGCCTCTGGAACATCCTGCCCTCCCCTAGGGCCCAACTCTATTGCAGTCACCTCCCTGGGGACCCCGACCCCCTGGCCGGCCCACCGGTTCGGGTCTCACCCAGAACAGCAGGTTGAAGCCGAGCAGCAGATACTTGATGCACCGCAGGCCCCCGCGAAAACGCCCCATGCTGCGACCCTGGCGGCGGGCTCCCGATTCCCCAGGCCCGCGCCGAGCCCCGGGAGCGGCGGGCGCCGGCGGGAGGGGCGGGGCGGGGTGGGAGGGGCGTGACCTGTGGGCGTGGCCTGCGGGCCGGGACCCAGGGCGCGAGGGGCCAGCTGGCCTAGGCTGGGGCTCCCGGGGGGGTGGAGATCCGGGTCCCACGCCCCAGCTCCTGTCCTCGGAGGTGGCGCCACCTTCCTCCACGCCGGTGGGTCGGGCTCCCGTAGCTATCCGAGCATCTGTGCGCGAGCAGCGCCCACCCGAGACGCGGGGTCTATTTAATCAGCGCCGGGTGCCCACACTCCTTTGAGGCCCGCGGTGATGGTTGAAGTTGTCCGCGTGGCTATGGAAACCCAGGAAGGCGACTTCACTAAAAGCTAAGAAGGACGGGCGAAGCCGGTAGACCCTGTGGCGAGGTGCCAGGCAGAGGGTCCAGGGCTGCTGGTAAACAGAGTCGGGCAAGCTCCCAGGCCGCGGAGGCCGCTGCTGGAGACCCTCCCTCCCACCGCTGCGTTCCTAGAGGACTCTTACCTTAATAGGCAAGAACTGGGAGAAGGCGCGCCAGGCAGCTGCCCGGAGCCCTGACACTGCTCCCCACCCCACCCCTGCCCAGCCCAGCCAGCCCTCCAGGTCAACAAATGGGAGTCAGACTTCCCATATCCTGCTGGTTTTTGACAGACTCGGGGCCCTTGAAAGGAGTCCAGATTCTCAGGGTCTAGATTCAGAAGCGTAGATGGGGCGGGGGGGGGAGGGGGGTTCTGTTTTGCTTTGTTTTTACTAAGTTAGGCTACTGGTGAAGAATCCAGCACCCACTTCAGTTGACTAAGTGTCTACAATATGTGGTGTCAGACGGCACGGGGGAGACAGGAAAGTGTAAAATCAGGGAGCTTGTGCATTCATTTAGCAACACTCTGAGTGTCAGTCATAGGCCAGGCATAGTAGCAAGCCCCAGGGACACCAGAAGAACGTCAGGCCTGCTATCACACCCTTACTGGAGGGCACAGATCTGTGAGCAAATCATTGGAGCGAGGTGAGGTGGGTGGGCTAGGCCCTGGGCAAGAGCCCGGCCTCTGCCTTCACTAAGGAAGGCTTTTCAAGAAGAGTGGACCGGATCCTGACTTGTAAAATGAGTGCCAGCAGAGAGAGAGAGCAGACTGTGGGTGAGAGGGTGGGAATGAGGAGGATGGTGGGGGAGAGGGGAGAGGGAGCACTACCTACCTAGCTTGGGAACCAGAGTCAGGGAGATGGCCAAGGGGAGGGGAGTCGAGATGGCATCAGAACAGAACACAGAGGGCAGGCGCCTGACCAATGTGCCACACTGTTCCGTTATCCTGGGGCCTCTCTTTCCCATCTCGATATGGAGACCGTAGTACTTGCTTAAGAAGAGTTGTGAAGATTGAGGAGTTAATGCATGTAGAGCACCCAGGTCAGTGAAGGGCGTGAAGTATGATAGAAGAGGTAGCGAGTGTGGTGCCAAGCACTCATTCCATTTCTACCATGTTACCACCTCAGCCTTTATCTCCGTCGTTGAATATCTAGTGAATTTTATTTATGAAAATGAGAAGAAAAAATGAAAGTGCTGATTCTGGTAGTAGCAGGGAGCCAGAGACAAAGATAGAAGTCATTAGGTATGCAGAGGCGAAGCCTTAGTTTCAGTTACACTTACAGCTCGCTATCACCTCTGTTTTACTTTGAAAGAGGAACTGAATTAATAGGCGGTCTCTACTCTCCAGCAGGAATTCAGTGAATCAGCTGAGGGAACAGTTGGATTTTATGTCTGTAATATTTAGATGTTATATACTCTGTAGTTTCTGGGAATAGAACTTAGGATATGTAATAAGCCTATTGTTCTTCCATCCTGTGAACCTCGTGGATTTATTAGAAATGTTTCATGGCATGTCTAAGGTAACCCTTTTAGATCTGCAGTTTTTGCTCAACCCATATCTTAGTCACTTTTCCTGTTGCTATGATAAATTAGCCTAACAAAAGCGAAGGGGGAAGAGAACAGGCTTGCTCTGGGTCACAGTTTAAATGGACAGTGCGCCATGGTGGGAGCCACAGCAGCAGGAATTTGAGGCAAGATGGCCACATTGTATTCACAGTCAAGAAAGAGAGTTTCAGTGGCAGCAGCTCAGCCCAGCAAATGGTGCCACCATAGGGGGCGGGTCTTTTCAACTCAGTTAACCTAATCAAGCTACTCCCTGTGACTCATGCTGTCTCCCAGGTGATTCTAGATCTTGTCAGATTTTTGATTGAGATTAATCATAACAGCCGCCCTTCACAAAGTTAGGTCTCAGGCGGCTTGGCAGGACTAGCTTAAGATAAGGGTGAATCAGCACCCCTCACCTCAAGGCGATCCCATTTCCCTTGTAGCTAAGGTGGTGGGAGTGCTGGCTGCTGGGAGCCAATACTCATTGCTATTGGGTAAGGATCGTCTACTTGAGGTTGTTGTATCCTTCTTGGTACTGAGCTGGGGACAGATCCAATACCGAGGACAACAAAGCAGAATGTTGCAAAAAAAAAAAAAAAAATCTAGACTGGAGAAGACATTAATTCATCATCAAATCAGCCAATTCCAAAGCCATTTTCGAGGCTAGTTTTATTTTTACCTCTCTCTCCGTGTGTGTGTGTGTGTGTGTGTGTGTGTGTGTGCGCGCGTGTGTGTGTACATGTGTGTGCTGGTACCTTCAGAGGCCAGAAGAAACCGTCAGATCCCAGAAAGCTGGAGTTATAGGTGGTTGGGAGTCACCTGCCCTGTATGGTAGCAACAGAATCCAGGTTCCATGGAAGTGTAGCCAGCACTCTTAACCACTAGCCATTTCTCCAGTCTTTAGTATTTGTGTATGTCATGTGGGGCTGAGAGTATCCTAGCTAATGACACATTTCAAGATGCATTATTATATCCAAATAAAGGATACATTAAATGTGTCACAACAAGGACATTAACCTTTAAACTAACTGTCCGTGCTATCCTGCTACAGTGTTACATGTGCTACAAATAATTATGGAAACGATTTCTCTTGCCATTCCCTGCAACCTTTTATTATGAGTATTTTCAGTTGTACAACAAAGTCAAAATACCAGGCAGCGAGTACCAAATCATCATCACCTATACTGCCCAATAAACATCCTGTTTTTGTCTCCTTACTTATCTGTACAGCTGTCTGCTTGCTTTTGTTTTTGTTTGTTTGTTATTGTAAGCACTACTTTTTATTCTATTTTAATAATGTCTCTTCCACCAACCCCACAACACTAAGAAGGTTAGTGGGGAGAGGGTGGAGTTCTCTTTAGCTACTTCTGGCTGTTTAGAGTCATCTTTAGGGTAATACCAATCTTAGTCATCAGGATATTTAGCAGGCCAGCAAACAGCAAGCAGAGCTGCAGCCCTCTTCCTTCTCAGAGCGTCCCTCAAAGTGTCCTTCTTTCAAATCGTCTTTTTTCTCTTCAAGCATTCTCTTCATCTCTCTGGTATTTATACCCTCTCAGAGTCCTCAGCATTAAACCAACTGCAGCTGGCAAAGACCACACCCTTCTCTGAGATGAAAGAGGCAAGTATCAGCTGTGGACAAACTAAAAGCAACTCCTTATCTTACACTTGGGATTAAAACAAAAACCTGTTTACATAACATAACTGAGTTTTTAAAGAAACCAAAACTTCCGCTACAGTTATGGAAGTTCTGTGTGTTTCTTCTTAAGCAATCTGTGCACCCACGCTTGAGGAAGGCAGCCTTACTCTGGTTTGCTTGCACTGTCTGTTCACCAGATTTTACATAATTGACACTGTACAGTACTTAGCCTCACACATTCAAATTGATATGTAAAATAATTTCTTGTAAGTTTGGATATTTTTAAAGGATTTCATTTTTGGTGTAGATTAAATATTAAAAGTTTTAAAGAAAATTGTTAAAATGTTCATTTCAATACTTGAAGTAGAATTTGCATGCTACTGTGATCTGCCACCAACTATCATTCTTTTGATGCTCTTCTTGAACAGGGTGGAATTTTACAGCTTTCTCTTTTCTTCTTAAACACATATTTTCAGGTAAATCTAAAATGATGCATTTTTATGCTTCAAAGATTTTTTTTTTCTTGACTCTCTTTTTTATACTTGTCTGGACAAAGAAGACTGCATGATCATCAAAATAAATTACTTTTCCTCTTGGGACCTGTAAGACTCCAAGTGTTAATTAGCTTCGTAGCGAATGAGTTATCCTCAAAATTATTTTTAGTGTGCGGTTGACTAAAATAGCACATAGTTTTAAATGAACAATCATTAAACATCAAGGTAAGATACTACTGGCAATTCCTCTCTTTTAATATGACACGGATTTATCTTTGTTGATTTAGTAGTGCGTTTCAACACGGCGTCTTCCTACCTCATGTGTCACCACACTTTGCTCTCATTCTTTCTCTCCTCCACAGTCCTCTCTCTCTGCCCCTCCCCATTCCAAATGGTTACCCTTCTTCTTCCACTGGGTCTTGCCTTCTGCTTTTGAATTAATGTGTTCCATTACCTATTTCCCACTTCCCCTAGACTCTCTGCTCTCCTCTAGTCCTTTGCTAGTTTCATGTTCTACACACACACCTGCATATATGCATACATGTACCCTTAAATCTAGGCTCCACGTATGAGGGGGAAACATGGTGTTTGTCTTTTTGAATCTGGCTTGTTTTGCTTAACAAAGTGTTTCCCGGATGCAGCTATTTTTCTGCAAATGTCATGATTTCTTTTTCTCTATGGCTGCAAAAATTCACGTGCTTCATGTGCATATGAAGCACATTTCTTTACCCATTCATATGTTGATAGACATCTAGGCTGCTTCCATTTCTTGGCCGTTGGGAAGAGTGCAGCAATAAACATGAACACACAAGAATCTCTGTAGTATGTCGGCCTGCCTGGTTCACATTCCCAACAGCAGTGCAAAAATGGGCTCTTCCCCCACATCCTCACCAGCACGTGCTGTCGTGCATTGGTGATCTCTCTACCCCTTTTCCGGAAGACCTAAAGTCCCCTC